GTAGTGCTTTTATGTAGAATAATGAATTTTACCTCAAGTTTACCATTTTTCTAGTTTGAGCATGGCTTGCATTTTGAAAACTATTTCCTACACTTTTCACCTGTTTAGTTTAGCAAGAACAAAATACTCAGTACTTTTCCTTAAAAAAGCATAGCAAGTATCATGCATTTTGCTTTGTAACATAGCATTTAATTCTGAAGAAGATAATTCAGATAATATAAAAACTATGGTTGCATCATAAGATTACATCTCATCATCATCTAACATCTAGCACTGAGGTAGGATCAGCAATGCCGTCATAGATTCTGTGAGATTCCCTCCAGTCTTTTAAGATTCACATGAGAAAGCTTGACTGTCAAGTATCCTGTTCTAATATTTCATTGCAATTAATATTGCTACAGTTAATGTTACGAATATGATGCCTGATGGGTTGGGTATGGTTGCCTCTTTATTTGGAGGAGTGGGATGGAATGGGATAGTTGAGTCTTCTCAGTCTTTTAAACCTGTTTTTTGTGAGTAAACAGCATGCCAAGCAGAATAATTCTCTGTATTTTAGCTATGTTGCTTTTCTTAGGAGTTGAAGAATTGAAGTATTCTGTTTTGCTGTTTGATACTTAAAGCTTAGCGGTGGTTCATTTTCAGTATTTTTTCAGTTGTACTGTTGTCTAGCAGTTGTACACCACCTTGCGTTTCTGCATGCGGGGTTTTTTTTGTCCAAAATGTGCAACTTTCTTTGCTCTGTACTGAATTTCCATTTTGTTGATTTCAGATTATTTCATCAAGTAATCAAGATGACTTTGAAGTTTGAGGCTTTCCTTCTAAGAGTTTGCTAATGATTATGTTGTCGTCTGCGAATTTTATAAGTTTATTAGTTCTTCTGTCATCCAAATTGCTGATGAAATTATTGAATGAGCATGGGTTGTACCAGTCCTGTCCCATTTGGATCAGGACACAGCTTAATTTAGAATCCCACAAAATATATTCCCAGTTTTGCAACAAACCCTGATCAGCACAATTTATTTTTTTTTATTTATTAAACAACTAGTGCACTCGTGTTTTTGAAACTAAAAGTACGTGTTTTCTCCTTGTTTTGCTTATGAGATTGTCAGGTAGCATGGTGCCGAAAGCCTGTACATCAGTCCTTATTTTTATTGATTATGCTTCCTTTTTTCCCCGAAACCTTTATGAATTTTTGAAGGTAATTTTGAAGGAATGGAGACTGAGTAATGTCCATTAATGTATCTTAAATATAAAATATCTTAATGTTTTCAGAAATTACTTAGCTCATTCTTCCCTGTTCTCACCTACACCCATATATCCTTGTTAAAATTTAGTCATGGTAAAATGACTACAATTTACATAGTGTGATTGTAATTAGCATTTTTTTGAAAGCTAAACAGAGTATGGTCTTTAATTCTTTGTTTTAAGAGGTATGTATGTTTTCTAAAATAATCTTTGTTATATTTAGAAGCCTTTCATGCTGCCTTTTTCTGTGACTTCCGGAACAAAATGATTAACATGGCCTTCTTGGTTTTTATCTTTGCTTTTTTTTTTCTTTAAATTTCCCTTAATCGTATGTTCTTCCTCAACTTCTGAAAATTAAAGAAGAATCACACAAGTTTGTTGAGGATTCCTGATGCATAGATAGCTGTTTCATTTTGTTAGCTGCTTTTTCTGTTTCAGCTGGTGGTTGGGTTTTGGATTTTTTTTTCATTTTCTCCTAAGTTTTGTGTTTTCAGTTGATTTGTAGTTCTGAGAACTAAATTCAGCACAGTAGACGCCAGCAGCTTCATCCAGTTTCTGGTTGTTTTTAACAGATTCTTACGATGGGACTGGCTTAGATTGGCACACAGTGCCTTAAATCATGCTTAAAAGTGTAATTTGTTCAAATGCTGAAAGCCTACAGATAGGTACACCTGAGTCTTACACTAGACAATATATTTCAGATTGATAATGATAATTTAGATGGATGCCAGTGGAAGTTAAAGACTTCCTCGGGTTGTTTTATACTCTCATATTGATTTTTCTATGTCTAAAACTGAAACTGACTTCCATTAAGTATAGCGTATAGTATTTTACAGTGTGCAAGCATAGCACTTGATGTATTACAATATTCTAAACATAAGTTTTAAACAGCATCATGTTAAATGCTAAGCAGGGAGAGTTTGGTAACAGGAAACTTCAGAGTCACCTCATGCTGTTAACCAGCAGGTTTTGAGAGTGTGCACGATCTAATTCAATAACTTGCAAAATACTATCAAACAATAGTGGATTTTTGTAGAAAAAGACATTTCAATTCGAATCCGAAGCACAGGAGTTTTATCCACTTGTGCTTTGGAAATCAAAGTAAAAATTTCTGTGCTACAAAGATAGTAAATCTTGTTTTGCTGCTTGCTTCCAAAGTCTTTTTTCCAACCTGACTTAAAGTATTCTGAAAAGCTTTCAAGTAGCTTTTTTTTAATGAGTATATGAGTGGATGATACCACTTTCTTTTTTTATCTATTGTCTTGAAGAAAAAATTAAGAGCTTGCAATCATTATACTATCATTCTTACAGCTATCCAGTGGCTAGCTCATAGTTGAATATTGTTATTTATATATTTATATTTTCTATATTTATATCTATATATAGATATATTTATATCTATATTTATATAAAGAGTTTTATCGAGGTTGTAGACATCTCATTTGGTTGTTACACTTGTGAGGACTTAAGATTTCATCTCCTACTGTTAGTCTTACCTTGCACTAGTAGATTTTACTGGAATTAGTCTTAATGATTTCTGTTTTAGAGAAAGTACCCTGTCTCTGGATAAATTATGAGGTAGAAAGAGAAAAGGAAAAGGAAAGAAGGAAAGAATCAGGGAAAATTTTACCCTTGGAAATACTTTCAGTGAGGCATGACTTTACTAGGAACAAAAAGAGTGTGATAGTATTAATCTGACTAACTGCTTACCACCAAAACTGGTGTTTCACTTCTTTATCTTACTAGTCCCTCTGATTTTAGCCACTTATTCTGCTCCATTTCTTTTCTGTGGTTCATTCTGGTGTTTTTTGAACATCATGAGCTCTTTTAACTATAACCTGATGGAACAGGACTTGATTGGGCTTTTTGTATTTGTGTGTGTGTGTGTGGGTTTTTTGGTTTGGTTGTTTGTTTTTTGGTTTTTTTAGAAGTGACTGAATTTGTGTTGTTCCAGGTTAGTGAGTTAAGCTCACAGAAAGGTCTGAATAAAATGAGATTCAGCCCAAAGGAATCAGTGGGAACTTGCATCTAGAAGGAGATAGAACTGAGGCTTAAGGAGGAGTTATCTCCTTTTTGTCAGTCTTTTTTTTCCCCTGTCTCCAATTCTTTCTTCCTTGTGCTTTCCCTAGCCAAATAAAATGCGGATAATTTGCTGGCCTCTGGATAATTCTTCAGGTGAAAATTTAAGGAGATTTGACAGTGTAAAATTTGCCTTCTTGAAAAAGATAATGCCAAGTGGTAGTGATGCTCCTCATTCCTAAAGGATTTTTTTAGTGCCTTCAAAAATCAAACGTCTTCTGCTAAACTATTTCCACAGTTAGGAAAGACATTCTGTTTCACGGTGGTTTTATATAAAGAATTTTACTCCTGGAACTTATGGCCTGCTCAGTTGTCAAATCAGAATTTCAGTCAGCAAGGAAGAAGATGGTTTTTGGGCTACTTCCTACTCACAAGCAGCAACCGGATGGTAAACCACCAGTGTGGCTTTTTTCTACCACGCTGATGTGCACTCCAATGATGATTTTTTGGCCATTTCACAGTTTGCTGCCAATTCTGCTGAAATACTGAATTGCCAGCAAGCTTTTCCTGTACTGAACTTCCTCTCCTAGGGCCTTAAACTAGCACTGCTTGGTGAAAACCACCCAGCAGATAACACCAGTGAAAAAGCTCAGGTCTGGGAAATGGTTTTGTAGAGAATGCCAAGCAATCCTCACTTAGTCTGCCATTTCAACAAAATGTGTAACTATTAGTGCATAGGACTCCTGGAACAGCTGTAACAGCCGGGAGTACAACTCTTTTTAAACTAGTCCAAAGACCTTACAGAAACTTAGCTGAAGAGCTGACTACAGAGCCAGAGACGAGGGAGGGCAATTTTAGAAGTTTCTGAATCTTCTTTTTGCCGTCCAGCACGTATTACTTCCTTTATGCAGTTGTAAGGACAAGTGAGAACAGACTTCCAAAAATGTGTGTGTAATGATAATTTTACCCACGCGGGTTATTCACAATTCCTCTGTGGCACAAATACTATTTTCTTACGTACATCAATGTGTTCTTTATTTTATTTTTTTTTTAAATAGTAAGCTCTTACTGTTTTGCTAGAAATAAGAACGCTTTTTATGTTTCTTCTTGTTGTCATATTTTATTTTGATAAAATAAATATTTAAACAAATCCAGTGTCGCGGGATGTCCATTGCAGGATGGCCGCTTTCTACTTGTTGCGGTAAATTCTGCAGAATGATCCTGTTGTTCTTTAAGCTGTTGTTGTCTAAAACACTGGTCTCTGCCTTAGTTTTTTGTGTATTTTAGTTGAAAATAAAGGTATGATTTGCTGTCTTGCCTTGATTTGCTGTTTTCTGGAAGAGATGTCTGTGCCTGTTCTTGGAGTGGTTTTTCAAAAGCGTGTGAGAGCTTTTGTGAGAAGCTGTAATGGGACAGTAGACTTTTATGGCACTTGGATGACTTCAGCATTTTTTTGTAGGATTAGTATTTGAACCATTTAACTCTTGAGGTGAATCCAACTGAAAATCTTGGAGAAACAGTTGCCACTATAAGAAAATATACATGCCAGTATCATTTTAAGTAGAAAAGCACTGAAATGATTCACCTGCATTTGTTTATATCAGTTTAGGGTGTTTTTTGAGAAACTGTTCATTGGCAAAAAATGCATTATCTTTTTGACACTGTGTGACTAGTGTAGTTCCAAAATGACTCACAGAAGTGTAATCTATTTTTTTGTTTGTTTCTTTTTATTTAAACAGAAACATCATGTACCAAATAAGGTTTCTTACAGTTGCACCTCAGCAGAAGGGAAGTATTAAAGAAGAACCAGTTTCAGAAATTCAGAACAGACAGACCTGGCAGTTTGACTGGGCATTGAATAAACTGGATACCGCTGTCAGAAAAACGGGCCGCATCCCTAAAACTCTTCTACTAAAGGTCTTCAATGACATGTGCAAAACAGGTAAACTGCTTCCAATTAAAACAAAATAAAAACTGAATTAAAGGCCGCAATATAACAATTCATCAAACCAATGAAATTAATTGAAACAGTTTGGATTCATGTTTTATCTTTGAATTTTGCTTAATCTGCTGTGTATGTTGATGAAAAGACTTTAAATGCTTTAAAGGTGTTATTTTGTTTTGATGGCGCACAGTTCCTTTCCCATTTTTTATGTCTTTGGGAATTTATAAATCTTGTAAAATTTGTAAATCTTTCTTGTACTTTTAAGAAATCTTGTCATATTGCCTCCCTTATTGTGGACTTTTAATCTGGTAATTTTACACCATCTTTATGTAACTGTGTTGTGCACTCTGAACAGGGATCATATCTGTCTGTTTTACACAGTATATTTTTAAAATGTCTGTAATAAGCCGTGCTGTCCTTAAGAGGTTATTTGTTTTAAAATGGAACTATACAGGGAAATGTGAAAGTGATCTCCAAGCTTCCACATTTCCAAGTAGCTGTGGTTATTCAGTATTAGAAATCTTTTTTCTTTTTCTTTCTTTTTCTTTTTTTCTTTTTTTTTTAATTAAAACAAAAATAAACTGCTGAGGCATTGTTCATTCTGATGGATTCAATACCCCTTTGGCTAAAAATAGCCAGACTATATTCATATTTTGCAAACCATGTACCACAGTTGGTGAGATTTGGTACCAGTTAGGATGAATCAGTGGAGATATTTGCTAAGTATGTACTTATATAAGTATATATAAGTATGCACTGTGTACTACTTCCAGTATTAATCAATGAGAGCATGTATTGTTTTGTTTTAGTTTTAAACTTTGCTGTGTCTTGTTCTGGACTGTTACTGGTTTTTATACCTGGGATTGCACTCTTAAAAGTTTTGCCATTCACTGTTTGAAAGCTGTGTTCAATTCATGCTTGCTTTCTGTTGAACTTTATAGTTTTTTTCTTTTTGCTTGTGATATGCTTTCTGATTCCGACTGCTTTGTCGTCTTTAGGTATAAACTTAGAATTTGCAGCTGTGGGTTCGCAAGAATTTTATGTCTAAGCTTATTTGCAAATCACAGTTCTTAATGATCTTTGATTAGTTACACAGTTTTTAGGAAGTCATATTAACAAAAAGTTTAATTACTTACAGTGATTTCCTTTGGCTGTATATTTAGAAAAAAAAATCATAGAACTTCAGAAGATATTTAACTAGGATGCTATTAAAATAAATGCCAAATATTTCCATATGAAAAACTCTGTCCTTTTTTCATTAATAATGCCAAAAACTAATTTAGTGAAAGTTAGTTACTGTTAGTTTCTTAAAAAGATTTGCCTGTGTTTGTATTGTTCTTCCATTTCGAATTATGACACGAAAAAAACCCAATGAAGGTGCTGGCTGTAGATCTCTTGTCCTGCATCTTTCCATGCTCCTACTGCCAAACCTTTTCCTGTTTGTTTTGCCTTTCACGGTACTCAGTCACAGGTATAACACTGGCATTGTGAAACTGGAGATCTGTTGGCATTTTTATTGCATGAACTAATTGTATGCAGATATTTAACAGAAGTACAAATCCCCATTTACAGTTTGTACCAGCCCCCTCTCAATGTTTTAACTTACTTCTCTTCTTTTCTCATTAGTGCTTTTTTTCCTCACTACTGCCTGTGTTTCTTCCCAGATGAATTTGCTCTGTGTGAATAACCTTTCTGCTGTAGACTACACTTTTGTATCATAGATTGCAGTAGCTATGTGATGTCCTAGATTTGCTGGTCCTTTTTGGTACCTGAAGATATAATTCTAGATGGTATATAGCTTTTTGCTGTTGAGGTTTTTTTACCTTATTTTCCCATTATTTTATAGCTGTGTAGTTGTTTCTACAGCTCTGTGTAATTAAAAATTATACAGCAGTGGAGTTATCTTTACTGACAACAGCTCCTGCCTTTTACACTGGGCTGTACACAACTTCAGAGTGTTGGCTTGATGATTTGGAAGTAACTTAAAAAGCATTAGTGATGAGAGTTCAAGTAATTTTGAAATTTGCGTCTTTCAAGTCTGAATGTATGTCTCCAAAATAGAAAACCTTAAAGTTTTTTTTATCATTTATGTTGTCTGTGAACATTTATCTTGCTCTTTGTTAGTTGAAATTACTTCTGAATTCTCTGTGATAGGAAAAGGATAAGACAACTTCTTTTATTCCAGTATGCTGCTTTCTAAAAGAGCTCTTTTTTTACTATAAATTGCTGGTTTTGCATATAAAGATGTGACTGAAAAAAATCTTATGTCTCAGCTTATTGGGTAATCTTTGATAGATTGCAACTCTGTCTTACTTTGCCTCAGGAGTGGTCGTGAAGTCCAAGACAGATGAGTTTATAGTTACTTTTTGACATCCTGAAGCTAGTGCAGAAGGTACACACAGTTTTCTCCACTATTGTCTAGTTGTAAATTACCTCATTTTATTTTGTGTTGAGCATGGGCAGAAGTAAAAATTGAAATTTTTATGTGGAGAGTTTCTGAATACCAGTTTTGGAATAGTATGGAATTCAAATGAATTATTTTGCCATTTTAGAAATTTATCAGAAAGTTATGTCCCGGTTAGGATTAAATTATCTATGGATCTAAAGTACTAGATCATCTGAGTTTAATATTTTCTGTCATACTTCTAAAAATTTCTGTTCAACTGAGCTCATTATTGTATGAAATGTCATGTTTTATTGTGAATCTTTTTCATAGTGGTGCATAATAGTGTCATTCTGTAATCATTTGGATATCCTGATCGGTAAAAATCCTCAGTCTTGAAGAGGATTCTATCCTATACAAAAAGCTTAAATATTTCAGTGAGTAAGCCTCTAATCTTTTTTTCTGATATTAAAAGCATAGTTATTGACAAAGAACTCTGTGCTTGTGTTCCACTTGCAGGGTGTCCAGGGAGTAACCAAACCTTGCTTTTGTTGCGAAGTTGTGGTGCTCTTTTACCAGAGGTATTATCACCTGAAAGAACAGAACTAGCCCATATGATATGGGACAAGATGAAAGGACTGGGTAGGTTGGTTTTGTTAGTCCCTCTTGCAAGAACAGCTATGTGCTTTAGTTACATCTTCTGTAATAGAAGACTGAATGTATTTTAGTAGTGTTTAAATCTTAGGTTGTAATAGCAAATACTCATTACTGAATAAACACTAGGTTTCATTCAGGTGAGAGACCCATTTCCTACTTTGGGAGTTATACTGACATCTAGGGGTGTTAATAATAAGTCTAAAGAATTTTTTTTCTTTTTGCAAGATGCTTAAATCAGACTTTTGTTTGATTTTTTTATTATCTTACAAATGTATTTTACTTTTCTGTTAGATGTTACCTTGATATCTGATGGGCTGAGTATTCCTAGTGCTGCCAGCTATTTTATCAGATGATTTTTTGAAATTTTAATTTAGTCATTTATCTATAAACGTTGCATAGGTGAACTGCTACTTAGTAGTAATATTGTTGAATCTAAAATAAATATAGCTGTAGAGACTGGAATAGGGTACACTTGAGAATTGATGTTACTTTGCTCTTGTTGCATTTTAGCCTTTTATAAACAGATGCGTCTTGTTAAATAGATGTCTCCTATTTCAGGGGTAGATAAAAGGAAGCAGTCTGATTATACATAAAGTTCAGTATATATTAAAATTTAAATGAAGTTAATTATCTGAAAAAGCTATAAGATCCTCTTGGATTTAGAAAATCTACATTCGTTTACTGTGGTTGAAATGTTTCCTCAGGTGCTGTGTATGATACAAGCCATTATAATGCTTTACTTAAAGTCTACCTGCAGAACGAGCATAAATTTTCCCCGACGGAATTCTTGGCCAGAATGGAGGAAGCTAATGTGCAGCCCAATCGAGTAGGTACTCTTTCATGGTATCTTAATTTGTAATAGTAGTATCCATTTATTGCATGGAAATCATTAACTTCCCCATTTTGTTTTCTGTAGGTTACATACCAAAGGTTGATTGCTGCTTATTGCAATGAGGGTGACATTGAAGGAGCAAGGTATTCTTTTGAATTTGTTTAAAGGAATTCCCATGAAATGTGTTTCTCATACTCCCTACTATTAATATTAAAACTCATTTCAATGTAATTCTTATAAATTGTGCGAAGCCAGGAGGAGGTTTAAGTTTATTTTAACCAAGCACTGAAGAGCTGTTTCTCAGCGACAGCTGGAACCTACACAAGCAAAACAAAAATAAGTGATAGACCAGCATGTTCAAATCAAATTGTATTGAAGTTGCCAGAAAATAACTTATGTCATTTCTAGAGCCAGCATGAAAAAGCGTGAAGCTTTGAAGGCTTACTGCCTATGTAAGAAAATGGCTACTGGGAAAGGCATTTGAGAACAGAGTGGGCTAAGGAGCAAATTGTAGTAATTCTATTTGTTGTTGTTATGCAGGGTTTGCTGGTTATCCATCTAACTTGTTAATTTTAGCAAGGTTAAGTTGCAGGAGTGTGGTTGCTCGGCATGAGAAATAAGTAAAAGGAAGATAAAAATGAAAAATACCAGCCCCACCCTTGTGCCTGCAATATCTCAAAGTGATGAATACAGTTCATCTGAAAACATGAAAACTACCAGATTTATGGGTGTATTGTGCAGCATCCCCAAATGTAGTTTCTCAGTGACATCAGGATTTGGTTTTGTTTGACGATATAGTACTTGCCCAGCAAAGCAGCAAATAGGTCAGTAGTTTATCTTTTCAAAGGGGAAAAAAAATCTAACCATTCATTGTCTTGTATTTTACAGTAAGATACTTGGATTTATGAAGAACAAAGATCTCCCAATCACTGAGGCAGTATTCAGTAGCCTTGTGAAAGGTCATGCAAGATCAGGGTAATGTTTAGTACCTTTTTTCTTTTGTTTTCCTTTAGTATCACAACAACATAAATGGATACTTCACACAAAAATTACATGCTGCAGAATAGTGTGATTGTTTTGAATAATAATTTATAGAATTAAATGTCTTTTTATACATTTTTGAAGCAAAAAGAGCTATTTAACAAAGGAAGTAGATTTTTCTTGTGTCTGAAAATCTTGAATTTCAAGATAAATTACTGTATTTTTTGTACTGTTTGAAAAAAAAATGCAGCACTTAGTTTTGAACTTTTCAGCTGTTAAAGTTGAAAGAATACTCTAATACAATAATTAAAAGATTTGCACTTTCACCTTTCAGGATTTGCGTAGTTAAAATTAGTTTCTCTTTCCAATTCTAATTAATTTAATGAAGAAATTTGTAAGTCACAATAAACATTATTATGATTAAATCTACTGACAGTCTTTCTTATGAATTCTTTTAGAGATATGAAGAGTGCAGAAAATATCCTTTCAGTGATGAGGATGGCTGGTGTTGAACCAGGTCCAGACACCTATTTATCACTGCTGAGTGTGTATGCTGAAAAGGGTGATGTTGATAGCATCAAAAAGGTATTTCGAGTTTAAGTACAATTTATTTGATCTTTTGTTCAATTTAACTTTGGAATGCAGGAAGAATAATACTGAATTTTATAACT